TGTCTAACCACGACTTTACCATTAAAACTCACACAAGTAACAAGAAATTAATTAAAAAAGAAGTATCATTCATTACAAAACAGCCCAAACCATAAATTACCATAGGTCACTAAACACACTACAAATAAAAAATAATCAGTCTGCTGAAAGAGCAACAAACACCCCTTCCTGTTTTACCACTTGGTCTCTCCCAGGACCTTCAGGTGACTGTTCACACACCTGACTCATTAACATCCTGCAGAGGACTGCTGACAGCACAGGTGAGGTTATATGTTGAATAATGAAAGCAACATCATGCAGAAACCAAACCGACCAAACCAAATGTCTGCAAACCACCACACGGATTATTAACGTTACACATGTAAATACAAAATGTAGAAAAACACAAACAGACTACACACCAACATTTTACTATTACTACGGTGGTTTTAACTGTATTTATAAATGGCAGTGTTGCCAAGCGACTTTGGGCTTGTTTTTCTGTAAAGTCGCTTACAAATATTGGTAGTCGCGGGTGTTTTTGGGCTTATCTCTAAAGCGTAGTTGCTTATTTGGGCTTGTTCCCAGCTCCATAATAAGTTGTCAAGCAGATATTTTTGATATGTTATTTAAACGTAGGATAGTTTGTCTTGCCTGTTCCCTCTGTCCCTCCCCTTTCCCCATACACACAGGAGACAGCAGAGTTTTTTCCCACCTGCATCCTGCTTCTAATTGGCTCTGACCCTGATGGCAACGAGTACTAGCCAATCAGAGGCAGAGCAGGGTAATGTGTTTTTTTTTCTGGTTAGGAAAACATCAGTCCTGTAACTAAAAGAAAAAAGTTAGATGAGTGCATAAAAAGCAATAATAAATAAAGAATTTGTGAATTCAGGATGATATTTATTTGTGTGTGCAAATGTTAATTATCAGAGGTTTACTGTGTATATAATGTACTTGGTACATCAGTCTATATTTGATATCCCATCTGTTTTCTAATGTTAAATAATGTTCAAAGGTGGTTTAACTCCCTCTTGTGGTCATTGTCCTGAAGCTCAGGGGGGAGAAAAATAAATAAACTGTGTACCGTGGGTTCAGTTTTGCAAAACTGCACACAGTTTACTTATCTGTCCACATGGTTGTAAATTGGCAATCTGTACCCACAGTTTAAAATCCGTCCCCACGGACTGTAAAACCGTGCACATAGTTTATTTAATTTTGTCTCACTGGAACCTAGGGGGGCTCCGTAGAAAAAGTCGCTTGTTTTGGGCTTGTTTTCACAGGCCTGGTTGCTTATTTGTCTCGCAAGATCTGGCAACACTGATAAATGGACTTAAAGCAAAGCTATGACAACTTGTTAGCTAATGTAACCGTGGTGATTTAGCTGCTAAACTGTCAGCTAACCTAAACTGAAGTTACCTTGAACCAAAGCTGCTACAGACCATTGGCTAATCATAAAGGAACAGTATGAGCTGATAGACTGAACCATTGAACCATTTTAAGTTGAAATAAAGTTACTAAAATTAGTAAGAAACTGAGCTGTTTAATTAAACTAAACTGCTAGCTGTTAATGTCAGTGTAGTTTAGCTGCTAAACGTTTAGCTAAACTAAATTAAAATTAACTTGAACCAAAGTGGTTTAACTGTTGCTATTCACAGTTGTCTAACTTGAACCATTTTGAGCTGCACCAAAGTTATTTAGCGTAGGGTGACCATATTTTGATTTCCAAAAAAGAGGACAATCGGCCGGTCACGACTACTTAAATGATACTCACAGTTTACTCAAAGATGCCTTATCATTTTAATATATTTAAAATTTATATGTATGGATAGAAAATTCAGTTATATTACAAAATAATATCTCTCAAAGACAGAAATTCAGATAGGCCCCAATAGGGGACACATACACACACTAGAGTGTGGCGATCCAAGCCCGACGGTACCCGATGGGTTGGGCTGGGTTTGGTCAAAAATGTAGAGCTACATTTTTGACCAAATCCGGCCCGACCCGTTATAGTTATATAAATTGTATTCGGGCTCAGGTCAGATTCGGTCAGCTTTCTGTAAAAATGTAGTGTAAAAATAAATAAAGTCCTATTGTCTGTCCTGTTTATTGCTTGGGCAGTGTTATTTACGTGACAACACCTGAACATAACACACATTGGCTGTTTGTTTCTACCTCTCTTCTCTCGCTGGAAGCGTCGGACCTCCCGCCGCCCGCTCCCGTCTCAAACACGGAGGTCTCCCTCTCCGATGAGCACGCCCGGCCTGTTAAATAGCCTGTAACCGTAACCACTGTGTGACACAAACTCAGTGCTTTGGTCATTAAATAATGTCGGGCTCGGTTCGGGTTCGAACAGAAATATGCTGCCCGTGCCGCACTCTAACACACACACACACACAAACACAAAAAAACCCGGACATTATCATCAGTTTATAAAAAAAAAACCCCGGACGCCCCGGACGGGACGTGAAAAGTGGACATGTCCGGGCAAAAGAGGACGTTTGGTCAGCCTAATTTAGCGGCTTAAAATTAACAAACCGAGCTGTTTAATTCAACTAAGATTTAGTTGCTAAAGTGTTAGCTAACCTAAATTAAAGTAATAGGTTTGCTGCTGAACAAAACTGTTGGCCAGCTAGAACCACAATAACTTAGCTGCTAATGACTGTTAGTTAATCTTAAGAAATAAAAAAAAAACAAAGTGCTGCTTAATGGAACCATTTAACCTGAATCAAAGTGGTGTAGTTGCTAAATTAACAGCTAACTTGAACAAATGACGTTTAGCTAACAAACCCCTATATTAGCAACTTAACTGAATTGTTAGCGTCAACTAATCTAATGTGGTTTAGATACTAAACTGAACTGCTAATAAGTAACCTGAACCATATTTGTTTACGTGAACTGTTTGTTAGCCCAAAGCTCTATTTTAGCTGTTATGATGAACTGTTAGCTAATCTGAACCAAGGTGGTTTAGCTGCTAATTGTTGGCTAACCCAACATTAAATCACAGGAGTTTCTGAGCAAACTGTTGGCTAACCTAATGTTAAACCAAAGGGGTTTAGCTGCTAACAATTGTTAGCAAAACTGAGAGAACACATTTAAGCTGTTAAACTGAACAATTTTATCAAAATGTATTTGTTTTACAGCTGCTGAACTGTTAGCTAACCTAAATCAAAGTCATTTAGCTGCTAAACTGGACCTACTGAAGGTTTGCTAACGGCTTTATTGTACCATTAATAAATAAATATCACACCATATTCTATTTCCTTCAAGTATAAAATGTAACACACTCTTATCAAACCTTATGTCACTCAGCAGTTTAAGCTGTTTAACTAAACCTGCTAAAGGTTTTCTAACAACACGCTCATTTTAGTTTCTAGAGACTATGCAAAAACACAGTGCGGGATGTTGGAGGCAGAGAGGACGACAGATGATTATTTGAAGGCAGTGAGTGGGTCATATTTCAGCAGTCTGCCTGGTGCTTTGTTCAGAAAGTTAAGATGGACGTGGAAAGCAGCACTGTGCTAATAAACCTGAGCCTCCACTTCACCTGCTGATCCTGCTCACCAATTTAACAAGAGAAGATGAGAGGCAGCGCTCACTCAGCGAGGAGCAGATGATTAACCTCCTCTCTCTGGGGGAGGTGGAGGTGAAGGTGGAGAGGACAGAGGTTTGATACCCACACTGCTCCACCATTCGTCTTTTAGCATTGTGCAGCCTGTCCTTCAGTGTGGATGTGAGGATGACTCAGAAACAGACACTTAACAGCCGCTTCACTCTGAAAACTCCAGGTTCATTTCAGTGTGGACGTGTGCACATCCTAGTTTAACCCACTGTGTGAAGCCTAATCCTGCAGAGGTGTGTGCAAAAACCTCTTCAGATCTACGCAGGGTGTAGTTTTGTTATTGTAATACGCTGAAACGAATGTATTTAACTGACCAAAAATCCTTAAAATTAAAAAGAAAAGTGCACTTCTCGTGCAAATGGAGGACATTTGCATTTTCCATTAAAAAAAAAAGGTTAAAGTGTTATTTTTAGCAGTTGTAGGGATGGCAGGGTAATTGGTTGTTCACCACTTTGGTCCAGACTGACATGTTAACAACTATTATCAGCTACTGTCATCATAAAAACAGCTCTACAACTTCTCCTGTATTTGACCGGTCTATAATTTCCTCATAATTTCACTCAGCTTTCCTGGCAAGATATATTTTAGTGCTAATTTCAGGGAAAACAAAGCAGTAATTTAAGTCAGTCAGTTTTGTGAAGTTTGGAAGCAGTTGTTTTTTCCATTTAAACCCAGTCAGTATTCTTTTATTATTTAAACTATTTTCTTGAATTAAATGCCTGCCTGTAGATAAATTACACATTTCTGCACGTTTAGCAGCTTACAATAAAAGACTCTTAATTAACTGGAATACGGACTGAATATAGTCCCCCTTTTCATATTATTTGCTTAAAATTCCTTTCCAGGATCAGTCATTTGAATTTACAGTCACAAAACCATTTGGGACTCTTATAACATGCCATCATTTTGAGTCAATCCAAGTCAACCCCACGTCCGTGCTCCCCAGTGTGGACGCATGTCAGCCATATGTTTAGGAGTTAACTTTGTAGTTAGGGAAATCTCTGCTGACTTCTCTCTGCATGGCGAATAAAATATTGTTTTGTGAATTCTTCCCATGTGATTAGTTTTTTTTTTGGTGTTCTCTGTACAAACGTTGACTTCCTGTCTGTCCTGGCAGAGAGAACCGTCCTGTGATATAAAGTGTTTTCCCTGATCCAGTTAAACCCTCTAAGAACAGAGGGTGCCTTATGATGTACAGACTGTAAATCCTTTTGAGATTAATACACTTCATTTGACTTTTGGTGCATGGCTGGCGTGTGTTACCTCCCTCCATCTACAGTACGAGATGGTACCATGATTTTAAGTTTAAGATTTAAAGAGTTGTACTGCAACTTGTTTGGAAGTGAAAGTAGAAAGCTGGTCTCTCTCTTGTTTGAACTCTGACCTCCGCCTCCTCCAGGAAGGTGTTGAAGCAGATTCCTCTGGGTGACCTTCGACCTGACGAGACGGTCCGAGCAACGCAGGAAGCCCAGCTGCTGTCTCAGCTGCACCACCCGGCCATCCTCACCTTCTACCACAGCTTCCTGGAGAGAGACGCTTTCTGCATTGTCACTGAGTACTGCCAGGTAACACCAACACTTCTGTCAGACCATCACCTGGTGATCGACCTTGAGTCTTCATCTGAATATTTTTTGGGATTGTTTGGGTTGCACTGTTTCTGATGCCAACGCTATATTGGTTCATTACTTTGAGAAATCTACAAAACCCTTTTTTATTCTACAAAATGAACTCATCAAAATCCATCAGTGGCCTCTTTTACTGTTCAAGGCAGGAATGTTGCGCTGTTATTCTGCCTTGCTGTTCTGTGTAAAAGGTATGATTGTGGAATGGGGGCACAGATTAGTCTCGCCTTTAAGTCCGCAGCTGAGGTAGTGACTGCATCCAACTGACACTGGGCTGCCAACTCTCACGCATTGGCCGTGAGACACACACATTTGACTGGCTTCACATACTCTCACGCCACACCCCTGATTTCTCACGCTGAAGTGTCCGTCTGAGCCAAAACAAAAATAAGTCCCTGTTTCAATGCGCAATACACCTCCCGACCGCTACATTGGATGTTGGTGCCACTGTGGCCCAATTGACACCGGGATTGCACTCAGAAGAAGAAGAAGAAGGAGAAGAAGAATAATAAGAAGACTGATTTCCCCCGCTCTTTTCAGGTATGTATGTAAGTGTTTGTGCTCTTAAACTTTAAGTAACGTTTGCATATTTGTTTTTTGTGTGTTGTGAGATCATTTAAAGGCATTTCGAGAGCTTTGTACATATTATTTTGAGGTTTCAGTGCAGCTGTAAAAGTATACTGTAGGTTGATGCCTAATTAATTTTGTCTGTTTTATCTATACAAAACCATTCCTCTATGCTGCTTTATAATTGTATATTAATTACTGTATATATAGTAGTATATACAAATTAGAATAATTTGTTATGTATGTATAAAGCATCATATACAGTAGGTGCGTACATTTTGTTTTAGACAAAATTAATGATCAAACTTTACTCATCTTTCAAAGGAATGTGAGATTTTTTTTCTTGTTCTTGGTCCATTCTTCATAGCTGACAGGGTTAAGTCTGTTCATGAGGCTTGCCACCATTGCAAAGCTGGTCCTGGTGTTACCCCACTCCAATGCAGATGCAGAGAGAGAGAGACTAAAACCAGGAACAGCCTGGCTCTGGATGGAACCCTGTCATCAATAATGACGATAAAGATGGCTGGCCTGGAGTCCTGCTTCACGTGGGAGCCCTCCCCAGAAATCATCAAGGCCTCAAAAAAGGCCGCAAGCAAGTACAACAAAGCACACTGATCTTAAGGACTTTGACAGTAGCCTCCCTATTTTGGGAATTGTTTATATAAATGGTTAAACTTTAATTTTATTAAATGACACAATGACATCAGACGAACTGAGGTATTCCAGGGGCCGTATTCACAAAGCCTTCTCGCACTAAGAGTCACTCCTAGTGATGAAATTCTAAGAAAATTCTTAGAATTGTGATGTTTTCCCAGAATTTCCCCTTAAAGTTAAGAGTAGGTAGATAAAAGTAATTCACAAACCATCTTAACCCTTAAAAGAGCTCCTAAGGTGAAAAACTGTTAGGAGCAGGGAGGAGGACTTTTAAGAGACTTAAGAGTTTCCTGAGCTGAGGAGAAAATGGCAGAAACACAAAGAGGTCAGAGAAACGCTCTCTAAACACTGAATGACAGTGAATAAATGAAAGGCCATAGATTAGATTGTGCAGGGAGAATATCTGTAGTCGATCTAATTAGGGATATGCACGCCTTTCCCACCCAACACAATATCATCATAATGGCAGAAATAAAATGATCACAATATTAAGATACTTGAAAAACTGAAAAAATGCAGCAGTGCATCAGTGATGACTTGGGTCTGTCTCAACCTTCCATCAGCAGTGATCACACTAACACTTTCACAGTCTGCAGTTCATGTCATCTCCACTGGGTGTCCTCACCCCTTGCAGGCTCACAGACGGGCCTGTCTGTGACAGCCAATCACATCTGTTAAAGGAATGCATCACACCTAGCAACGGTTCAACCACACCTCCTCACTGAGGTAAAAGCTGCTGTGTCTTCCTCGCTCAGAGTTGCTTTGATAACTTAGCTAAATCCCTCCTAAGCCAGGACTCCTTGCTAAAGTTTTTAGGCTAAGTTAGGAGCTCTCTGAGAGGATATTCAGAATGTTTGTGAGTACGGCCCCAGGTGTCCTCTCCCCGTAGCATTTTCCAGCTCCTGCTGGGGGATCCAGAGGCATGGCCGAGCCAGATGATTTATATAATCTCTCCAGCGTGTTATGGGTTGACCCGAGGGTCTCCTACCAGTCGGACGTGCCAGGAAAACCTAAATCGAAAGCTTTGTCCTTCAGCTCAGCTCCCTCTTCCCCTCAGTGGCCCTGATTCCTGCTGACACCGCACCGATCCACCTGCATATCTCACGCTCCATGTTACCCTCAGTCATGAACAAGCCCCTGAGATACTTGAACTCCTTCACGCGGGGCAGCTCTGCTCACATGCAGGCTGCACAAATGGTCTGATGTACACAGGTATTTGTTTTGATGAGTGAAATGTGTCTAAACTAAAGGGTATCTTTTGATCAGGACACTATTTCCCAACGTTTTGTATCTGACTCATGGAGACAAAAGTTTTTGCAGCCAGTCAGCTCAGATTGCATAATAACTGACTTTTCTGTTAAAGAGTTAAAGATCCTTTTTGTACTTCTTTTACTGTTTATTTGAATTGAGTTTAGTGGATTTGCTGATCGCAATTTTGGGGCTGTTTCTGGTTAAACAAAGAGGATCTTACTGCTTAATATAAAGGTCTATCCCTGTACGGACCCTTTCCATGTTTTCAGACACCTACAATAACAACCTGAGCCCGTCAGTGGCATAAAAGTACTTTTAGTAGACATAGGTTGATGTGCACATTGCCCTATTGCAGCCTGTTGTTACTCAATACTGGAACACTTTCAAAAAATATTGGCCCATTAGTCACTTGAGGCATTTTCAGACTGAAGGAACGTTTTCATAGCTCTCAGAACCCCTTTTTTTTTGGTTATGTTTGCACCGCAAGACCTAGAAACCATCATTTTAAGAGACTTTTAGTTCCTGTTTCCGAGTATGTACTCTCACAGCATAAGAGGAGCCATGAGTCACACAAGTGTAGAGTAATTGGTCCAGACGACATGAGTGTACATTGACTGGTCAAACACAGCTGACGCAGCACTGGCAACTGGCATTTAAAGAAACCTCTTAGCCGTGTAAACAACAGACAACACAAAACACACACAACAGCTTGTGACAAAAAAAAGTGGAAGACAGACAGACAGACAGACAGACAGAGTGACAGAGAAGTCGAGGCTTTACTGAGGAAATATGCAGCGGGGCAAATACAAAGTGATTTTGACTCGTCAAAGTGAAAATGATGTTGCTATACCAACTGCTGGCAAGCTTACAGTCCGTCACTTTAGTGTTTTGGATGTGAAAGCATTCAGAGAAAAAGCCCTTGATGGTATTTAGTTCTCGTGGGAGCTCCCAGTGGACGGTTCCTCTCAGAGAGTCCCCACAACTGTTCAGTGTGAAAATGCTTTTAGAGACAGAACATGGGAAAATAGCGTTCAGGAAAAAAAGAATAACATAGAATAAAAACAAAGTTACCCATTAATACAAAAGGAAATTATCTAATGTTAGTAATTACATACTGCAAGTTATAAATTTGGCGAATCAGAACTCTTGTTTAATGAAAACACTGAGACTGAACCAGAGCACAGACCCTTTTACACTGCCTCTTCGGGTCGGGAATTTCATGCCGTTATTCCGCCTTGCCCCATCATGGAATGGGGCACAGAGTTGTCTCGCCTTTAACACCAAAATGACGTCTGTGTAAAAAGGACAGCCAGCAGGACGGGACCATGGGCAGGATATGTGTGTGACTGGAGAATGTCCACAAAATGGAAAAACAATGAGGTCAGAGGACTCCTTCGCCTCCGAGTAGAGGACAAGATCAGCCGTCATATTAGAGAGATGGTAGATTGCTATTAATGTTATGCATTTGTTATTGTTTAGATAGAGCTGCCGACGTGTACGTTTCCAGTCACAGTGAAGTGGAGCTACAGTCCCAGTTGGGCGAGGACATCTAACTGGCCTACTGTCCTTGTCCCAGTATACAAGCACGGGAGGGGAATCCATTTATTGAGCCAAGTATGTGCGACTCCTCTACGATAGGTGGAGATATGCCCCCTTTCAGCTTGTTAGTATTGGACCTTTTTCCTGTTGACCTATTACGTCACAGACCAAACAATGGATAAACAAGTTAGCTACGGTTAGCTAGCAGCTAACTGCTACCATGGTGGACAACTTTACAGCTCTGTACATTTGGTGCGTCCAAAAAGTCACTGCTCTGGATGTAGATTTCTCCATGTTGTTACCGGCTTCTTCTTCTCTTACACATTTAATGCTATTGGACTTCCGGGTCAAAGCCCGGGGCGGAAACTGTGGAGCATGCTCAGAGCGCCTCGGCCAGTTTGGGTCTGATTGACTGTATACATGCAGGAGTCACATGATCTGGGTGTGTTAGTCCCACTGTGACACATTCACTGCAGGACCATTTCACTCACACTGACATGTTTACAGGGGTTTTAAAATTCTGACACAATAAATCCATTTGCCATTGCAGTGCTGTCTAATATCACACAGTAATGCTGCTGGTGTTTAGCTCTGTTTAAAAATGCAAAGGCAATATAAAGAAGAGACTTCCTGGCGGCAGTATAGCGGCATCTTTGTGTAAAAAGGGCGAGGAAAACAAAACTAGGACCTAAAAGAGGCTGAAAATCTGCAGATTCACAGCAGAGTGTATCAGTGTCTCTGCCTCTCCGCTCACTGTTGCTTCTTCTCACCTCATTTTTTCAAATCTATCATCTGTGAGGTGAAAGAGAAAATGAAGCAATAATGTGAAATTGAGTCTCTCCCCTCCCCCTCCATCTTTCTCTGTGTTTTCATCTTTTCATTACTTTTCTTTTCATCTCGGCTTTCTTGATTACAGTAGGTACTGTCTCCTT